CTAATAACAGATTATCAGTTAGCTTGTACTCTATGAAAAAAGTTAACAGAGTATTATCTTTATGTTTTAAAGATAAAAAATAAGAAAAAAAAAAGAAGAAAAAGAAAAATACTTTTGTTGAGAATCTAAAGTTAAGAAAGTTACTTAATAAGTATAAGAATATCTTTTAAAAAAACTTATTATTAAAGTGGTATCTGGTTCCAGAATTTTCTGTTCTGGTTCTAGATTTCCATCCCAATTCCTATCCCAAGAACAAGATTGGGTTGAAGCTCAGCTCAACAGGATGAGACTAGGTTGTTTAACAGTATATTAAGACAGTTCCATAGAAGCTGGAATCAGGATGAGATTAGGACCAGAATCAAAATCTAGCTAATAGAACAGTTCTGGGACCTGGCCATGACAAAATAAGATAGAACCAGAATTTCAATATTGTATACAGAACAGAACCAGTAAAGTGTAAAATAGAACTGGAAATTCCAGTCCCATTTATATTGTTAAAAAATAATAAAATTTAGTAACAGTCCTAATATAATTTTATCAATTTATTCAACTTTGAAAAAGTAATAAAATTTGATAATACTCTTTACATAATTAGATTATATTGCAAGTTATTAGGCTTTAGCTACTTGAGTTTATCTATTGATAATATTAACATATTTTCTGTTTCTCATCTGAATTAAGTAGTAGATTTAGCAGACTTGTAATCTCTTCTCATACAATCTCTGAAGTATCTTGATCATCTTGATTATCTTGAATGACTTTCTTGACCAACTTCTCATATAATATAAGTACTTTATCTAGCATATGTATCTTGTGTCCATGTTTAAGTAGTATAATCTTCTTGATTGTAGATGCATGAAGCTACAATTATTAATAATGATATATATCTCAAGTAATATTAAAAACTCATTCTATCTCAATTTCTGTTAAAGATACAGCCAGAATATTTCTTGTCATTCAAGTAATAGTTAGAAAATCAGACTCTAGCATTCTTCACTGTTTCAGAATTGAAGCTCAAGATGATGTTAAATTCTTATTATTTAAATATCACTACATTTCATTTTGGAAATTTGCTTATCTTTAATAAGATCTCTCAAAAATTATTTGCTTAATATTTTAGAGAAGTTAGTAGAGAGAAAACCAGAATAATACTTATAACAAACATATATTATTTACATTAAGTATTACTTCTCTTAACTATTTATATTTCTTATAATATTTTTTGAAAAATCTTAAAATATGTTGTCAGTATATTTTACACTCATTACTAGTTTAATTCTCTGAATCATATGCTCTCATACAATATAATAGATGGAGAGCAGCAGCTACAGCTAGCAGCTTACTCTTTAAATACTCAGTATTATTATAGTATTTCTGGAATTTCAAGCTGGCAGCTTTAATAGCTTCTTTAATATTTTCTCTTATTATCAACTGTTGAGTCTTGTCCTTCTCTTTTTCTAAATACTGGAAAAAATGATTGTAGATTGCTTATACTAGATGAATTGTTGGATCTGTTATTTTGAACAGTATCTTGATAAATTAACTAAATAACTATAACAGTTCAATCATATACTCTATCTGCTTTCAGTCATGGTCCAATAAGCAAAGTTTTTGATATTTTAGTGATGAGTTCTGGATTCATAAGTTTACAGCTTGTTAAAGCAACAAGACATAAATATATATCTTATAAATAGAATTTTATCTTGTGCAAATATCTTGAATCATCTTGTACTGATTCTCTTATTAATATTCTCAGAAATATGCAGCAAGTTGAAAGAAGGCATTAATTATATTAGTAACAAGATAAATCTATTATTAAGTAAAGATTAGTAAATTAACTTAAGTATATCAAGACTGTTACCAAATTTTATTATCTTTCTAAGAGTATTTGCAAATATGTCTGTTAATACTAGATCATCAGTAATTAAGCTCTTATTAAAGATAGTGGATAGAGTATTATTATCTGGCTGAATCTTGAGATTGCAAACCAGCTCTCAAACCACAAGTTAAATTATATGAGCAAGATAAAGTATTGTCTTACTGTCTGCATTTTAATCAGTTATCTTGTTCAACTACTGCAATACTAGCCTTAACTAATATGTAAGATGTGCTCACATGATATTATTATTTGATATATTATTACTTGTAATTGCAAGAAAATTACTCTCAAGTCTTTATACTACTAATAATTGTTGGAGAATTTCTGTTATATTCTTGTCAGTATAAGTACTTTCTAAACTTTCAAAATTCAGTAAATGCTTACAGTACTTCCAATTCTTTATAATGTAATAAACATTAATTATTATAAAGACAAGATTATTGGGACTTGTCTAATTATTTATTACTAGAGATATCTTGATTATTGAATTATGATTAAAGAGAAGATTTTAAAATAGCAGATTGTACATATTATTCATAATCTAATATAATGTTTCTCATATGAGTATCTGTAATGCTATTACAGAGTTGAGCATGGTTATTAATATGTGAAATGCTGGATTCTCAATAGTACAAAATAAGAGATTTAAGAATATTAATGTTTATATAAGCTGTCAGAGAAAATTGTCTTAATTATATTCAGGAACAGGCAGATCTGAATCTGTTCAAGAACACTTCAGAAACTGTTGCTAAGACATCAGAACTGTTACTAAAATTCATTACATTTGGGAAATTAGAATCTATAATCTATTATTATGTTAACTAGAGTGTTACTCTGTTTATTATCAGTTTTTGTACAATCTTTACTGATTAAATACTTCTTCAGATCACTTGTACTATTTCAAGAAAAACTTGAATGACTAAAAAAGATTTAACAATGCTTGCAAATTACTTCTGAAGTACTCTTAGAATACTCTGCCATTTGATCAAATTTTGGCTAAAAATCAGAATGATGTTGCTTTACTTTTCAGTTAAGGTCACTACAGTTCTTATTCTTAATTACCTGAGCAGCTTCAGTAGTTAATCATCAAGTAACAAATAACTTATAATGCTGCTTCTTCTATAATATAAATTGTTTTTTTCTATATTAAACTATAGTCAATTCTGAAGAAATCTCTGTAGATTTTGCTTGTTTACTGGCTTCAGCTATTTAATTAGATTTTTTTTTTTATAATTAAATTGATTTTTCTTTAAGTTCTGTCTTAGTCAAAAAAGTAATAAAATTTAATAATCTCTAGCTAGTTAGACTCATTCTACTCTGCACAGTAATTAACTACAAAATTATCATCATCTACAAAATGGAACATTCTTCTTCAGGAAAATAAAATATTTTATCAATTTAATGGTATTTCATTCTCAAATTAATTTAAAAAAAGAACTAAAAATCTAACTTTCTTCTCTAGATATTAATAATTCAATTATTATTCTTCTTACTATTCTTCTTATTATTCTTATCAGAGAACACTACAATCTCAAAATCATCTTTCTTTATCTTCTCTAGAGCAGGCAGACAGTTATTATCTTTAATCAGACTCTGTAATTAATCCAGAAATTCTTTTATTTTCTTCTTAATCTTCTCTCTTGACACATCAACTACAGCAAGATAATCATAATCATGGTCCATGATCTTGATCTCAAGCTTGACTATCATTTATCAGAACCAGACCTGCTTACATGCAGCAATAAAATGCTGCAGCTGGCTTGTTTTAGCCTAAATATGTCAGAATCATTATCAAATTTTATTACTTTTGAATTCTATCTTCTTGTTCTCAGGTCAAGCTTCATTCTCAGTCTTTGTAGTCTTTTCTCAGCAATACTTCTTCTCCTGTTTCCTCTTTTTTTGCTGAGATATCATAAGCTGGTGCTTATAATACTTCTTTAACTTGCTCTTGACAAATTACTTGATCATCAACTGTTTAATAACTTTATTCTTAATCATCTTGTAATTCTTCTTACTGCTATTCTGTCTGTAATAAATGTTAATATAATTCAATGCAAACTACTGAGAGTGTATATTACTCATGTTTGACTTAGATTCTCTTCAGTATATTATAGCATATCTTGTAATCTGTCTCTTCTATCTTAAATATATCTTTTTGATGATCTTTCAAGATCTGGCAGTACTTTCATGTCATACAGGTCTTCTCTCTTATTGAATATTGTTTTAGCTCTATCTTCACAATTATATACAATAAGTTGAATTGGAGGCACTGCATGATGGAATTATAAAGTATATTAATTAACTACTTGTATAGAATAATTACTATACACATTATTTACATTTTACAGACACATTACTATAGGCAAGCTTCACATATTATTATTATGCTAGCTACAGAATAATGAAAATATAAAGTGTATTGATCTAGTACTTGCATAGAATAATTACTATATACATTGTTTACATTCTACAGGCATATTACTATAAACAAGCTCAACACATTATTGCTATACTGGCTGAAGAATAATAATATAAGATCAGTCTCTCTTTTCTTCTCTTTCTCTTTCTCTTCTTCTTCTTTTTCTTTAAAGCTACTGTTGATAATTCTTCATTCTCTCTGATTATTTACTATTCTGCAATTCTCTCATACAAGAATCTGTACTGCAACAAAATAGATTGTATTAAGAAATGAGTGCTTGCAGAATACTGCTCTGGTGCACATTATTTACTGACAAGATATTAGTTTTTCTCATGCACATCTATTTTGTATAGCTAGAGAGAAGCAGCACAAGATTATATTGAAAAAATAGACTCTGAAGAAGAACAATTGACATAAAGCTAATAAAAATATTAATCTGATTAACTTTAATCAGAAGAATCTCCACTTCTGCTACTCTGTTCATAATTGGAAGTCCAGCACTCATATATTAAAAAGTAATGATTTTTGATAATAGTCTTAATGCTAATTAGTGAAATAGATGTCATCAAGAAGATTTATCACTTTTAGAGCTCTACAGAGCTAATTCTTTCAGTAGCTCTGTTTCAGTAATTAATTCAGAAAATTACTTTGTTCTGTTATCAAGAACATGAATATTACTGGTAATATTCTGTTATCAAGAACATGAATATTACTGGTAATATTCTGTTATTAAGTTACTTCAGAAGACTACTGAAGTAATCTTGTGCACTTTATTTAAGTATAAGTTATTATTGATAATGACACCAATAATTATACTGAGTAATATAAACTTTATTATGGCAATAGTATACTGTAAGTGTGTTACAGTCAACACCAATAACATAAAGCTTGTTTTTGACATCAGTACCATGATCAGATCAAATTATTTCAGCTTAATTAATGTGCCTGATTACTTTACTTCTGTTGTTTCTGCTTCTGCTGCTATCATCTGCTGTCTGTATTCTGCCCCTATCTCACTAACTACTGCTGCTGCTCCACCATCACTGCCACTGCTCATCACCATCTTTCTGCCTTCCTCCAGCACTGACAGGGTCTTCACCTGTCAAATAGTGGGTATTAGAGCCCCTGTCTGGTTCACAAAGCCAGTTCTGGAGAAGCAGGAGAAGAAGAAGAAGAAGAAAAAGAAGAAGACAAAGAGAGAAAAAAAGAAGAAGAGAGAGAAGAAGAAAGAGAAAGAGAATTATAATAATAATGAAAATGATAATAATAACAAGAATGATGATAATAATAATGATGATAAACTTGTTATTTAGACAGTTTCTAGTTATTTACTGACTTCAGTTATTACTTAGTTTTAATACTTTGTTTTTTTCTTTTACAATCAAATTGATTTTTCTAAGAGTTCCATCTTTATCAAAAAAGTAACAAAATTTGGTAACAGTTCCACACAAAATTTGACCAGTTTGACTCTTGAGATAATGGGGCCAGAAAATCCAGTTCCATTCTGGTTCCACTATAGATCTGGCTAGAATGAGAAATAGGAGCCTACCTTCTCTGCTGAAATAGAACATGAGACATAATTTTCTATTTGAGAATGGGACTGGGAAATAATTTATAGAATAAAGATGGCAACAGAATCTCAAGCTCTTGAGTGAGATGGAATATGAAACTGAGATTTCATATTTGAGATTCCAGCTATTTTTAAATTTGGGACCAGAATGAGCTTCAATAAGAAATGGAATCCTATTCCAGTTCTGAATACCAGTCTACTTATTATTAAGACTTCTGTCAGACTGACTATTCAAGCTTAATATTAATACTAAGAACACACTACTAATAAATATCTGTATGTATCCACTATTATAGATGCTTCTTGAGAAACAGAAGCATCAGATTAATAAGATACTAAAATAAGAACTTATATAATTATCTGTAAGTTCATGAAAATTCTCTGTTCTTTTTACTAAGAAGTCTAACAGTATCTGGTAATTATATATTAACTATTAAGCACTTAATAAAGTTATTCAGAAAAATACTTATCTACTGCTCAGAATTCAGAAGTTGTTAGATACTATCAGTAATGCTAGAGTTCTATTAAAGATAGATCTTGCTACTGGTTTCTGGCAGATTCAGATTAGTGAACTATTAGTAGAGAAGACTGCATTCAACATATAATAAGATAAGTACAAATTTCTTGTAATATCTTTTAGACTTATAAATGCTTCACTCTTGTTTCAAACAATAATAAATATTATTCTTTTAAAATATATTAGTAAATTCTGCTTGATATATCTTGATAATATTATTATTTTCTTTCAGTCAGAAAAGAAATATTTCAAGCATCTTTTAAAAGTTTTTAACAAGCTTTAAGCATATATACTCTATAGAAAAGAAAGTAAGTATACATTTCTAAAAAACAAGCTCAAGTATTATAATCACATTATAGAGAGAGAAGTAATATAATTTTTATCTGTAAAAGTAAATGTAATTACAAAATAGCCTGTACTAAAGAATATGCACAAAGTTTGACAGTTCTTGAGTTTGGCCATATTCTATAGATAATTTATCAAGAACTTTTCTTGAATTACTGCTTCTTTATTAAATCTGTTGAGAGAAACTAAATAAAAAAATAAGAAAAAAGAAGTTTTGTCTGATAATCTGAAATACTGTTTGTCACTTAATATTTCTGAAATTATATGAAGCTGTAACAAAAGATTTTGTCATAATTTAATTAGATAGAAGCAAGTCTTATATAATTAAGACTGACACTTTGAAATAAGTAATTAGTTATGCTCTTTATTAATTAAGAAAGAATAGATTTCTTCATTCTCTAGTATTTAACAGCAAGAAGCTTTCAGAAGCTGAGCTTAACTATTTAGTTTATAAGAAGAAGCTGTTAGTGATTAAATATGCTTTAAAGATATTTGATTAGTATATTAATAATGAAATGCAGATAACTATAATTATTAATTACAAAAGTCTACAGTATTTTCAGACAACTTGCAAACTATTGAAAAGACTTGCTTGTTAGATTACTGACTTTCAGAAATACAATTTTTTAATTCAGTATTATTCTAGCAAGAAAGCTGTTGTTTCTAGCACTATTAGCACATGTTCTGATTTTCTTGAAACCAGTCCAGTCAATACCACTCAATCTGAGACTCTTTCTACTTTTTATGATAGTGGGGAGAAAGAGTGACATAATACTATAGTGGTCTATCTTTAATTAAAGAAACTGTCTGACAATCCATCACTTTATTAAACAGTTTCAAAGATGAGTCACATATTCTGATATGGGAAATTGAATCTGTCTAATAAACATGAGAATATGCCTATCTGTATGTTTGACAAGAATGTGGAAGTGCTGTATATTGAGAAACTCTTTTGTAATAACTTGATCAGATGTATGCACAATAAATTTAATTATTTAGAATACTCTAGATTATTAAAAGTTATCTAATCTTATAGATATTGATCTGATATAAAGAGAGATATTTAGAATACAGTTAAACAATATCTGAATTATCAAGTTGCCAAAGAATTAAAGAAGAATTTAAAGAGAGAAGAGACTTAACACATAATTAATATTTGCATAAAGTCTTTTAAGAGATGGGGTATTAATCTTATAGAATGATTATCTATAATATCTAATAAAAACTGGTAAATTATAACTGCTGTTAACTATGCAACTGATTAGCTATTAATAAAGTTCTTAAAGAAGATAATGAATGAAGAAGTTGTGAAGTTTATTTATAATAAAATATATATTAATTATAATGCATCTTGAGAGTTATTATCTGATAATAGCACTAGTAATCTTCTGTCTGAAGTTATTTATTACTATACTATACAGCTTCAAGCAAAGTACTATATGACAACATTCTATTATTCATGAATGAATAAGAAGATTAAGAATCTGAATGATACTTTTAATAAAATGTTGATAAAATGTCTTTTTAAAAAGCTCACATGTCTTTGAAATAAATATCTCTCACAAGTATTATTTGTTATATATATTTGTCTTCATGCCACAAATAAATAAAGCTTTTTCTATCTTTTATATAATGTTCACCCATATATTTCTTCTGATAACAATGCTTTTATTTCTGATAATGTGTCTTTAGAGAATGTGAAAGAGAGAATTTGCAATATTATGTATATCAGATTAATAGTGAATAAACTTCTTCTTAACCAGGCTATTAAATTGAAGTGTATAAGAGATAATATGATCTGGAAAATAAATTTTAAGATAAAGTCTTGAATTCTTATACAAAATAAAGTTTCTAAGAAGTTTCAATCTAGATAATTTAATTTGTATAAAGTGATTAAAACACATCTGCTAGAAACATACACTCTAGAAAAATCTGATAGCAGGGTTTTAAAAAATCTTATTAATAGTATGAGATTGGTAAAGACTTATATAAAGAATTCTGAAATATTATAATCTTTATCTACAGTCAGTTATATTCTAAAGAAGAAAGATCTGTTAGTTAAAAAATCTTTAGAGATAAGATATATTATAAATGTATATAAAGATGATGTTACTTTCTATCAGAAGCTGTCTATAATTATCAAGTATAAATAGAAGAAGCTTGAGAGTGGATTAGATATTAAGTCAGAGTCTGAGAGAGAGAAGAAAGTAATTATATATAGTATTATCAGAAATAAAAGCTGACAGAAAGATGGTAATATATCTAATAATAATCAGCTCTCTTACAGAAAAAGTAGTAGATGCAAAGCTTGTTTTTGCAAGAATAAGGATGATAAGTCAGAATATTTATCAGAATTAGAACAGAAGAAATCTGATAATAAGCAGAGAAATATCTTTGATAGTATAGAATCTGACAAGAAAGAAAGTGAATACTGATCTACTGACTTATTTAATGAATTCTTTGCTATTGTGGTTTAGTTAAAACTTATAATTACTATAGAAATTACTAGTTAAACATTCAGACTATAATAAATGATAGAAAGAATACAAAATACTAGTGATCTTAAGAAAAGTTCTATTGTTTTCTATTGACTAATTACAAATAAATATATCAAAATTGAATTCTAAAGAGCATGAAGTAAAGAAGTAACTCTGAAAAGTACAGAAAATAAAAGAAATAACTCTGAAAGAGAGCAAGAAAAAAATTAATATAACTTATTATTTGTAATTAAATGACAAGTCTTCAGTCTTCTTTTCTGAAATATTATTAAGTTCTTTAAGATAATTGTTAATCTTGTGTAGAACAGTTTGAACAGCAGTACAGATACCATGTAATGTCTTGATATTGTTTTTGATATCATGCAAGAAAGAAACAAATCTCTGTAGATGGAAATATAATTTTAGAGAAATCTGCTTAAAAATGAAAGAAGATTATAATACTTTTTTATTAAGATTAAAAGTAGCAACAAGTTTAGTCTTTCAGCTAGAAAGAATATATAAAGAAGTATTAACAACTTTCTAAAAAAGAGAAAACTAACTTTCAGTAACTTTGAAATATAGCAAGCAAGTATAAGAAAAGTTAGATTAGATACAGAACATACAGATATTCTTTCTTATTATAAAATTAGATATACTTTCAGCAACAACATATTGCAAAAAAAAATTATTATCTTTTATACAGGCAGTGCAAGAATAATGCTTGATATAATCTTGAATATAAATTATTACTGTATTTATTTAATATCTCTTTTCAATAGACTTTATATTCAAGAATTTATTATTGACAGAACTGCTCTATTATTCTATCAAATAGCAGATACTCAAGCTACTAATAGTAGTAGCAATCTGGATTGACTCTGAAATAAAAAAGTAATATAAGAGCAAAATCTAATAGATAAGTATCTTATAGATAAGAATTTTCAAGCCAGATACAGAATATATTATATTTATAATTAGTTAGTAATAAGAAACTATCAGTAATAAACAAATAAGAGATTCTTATAATCTAGTAAGATAGTACAAAAGATTACACTTGAAACTGTTCAGATAATATAGTTATTTATAAAGTAATCAAATGTTTTATTAGTGAACTTCTTCTTGAGATTAAGTAAGTAAGAGTTCTATTTCTTTAATTATAACTTCATACTACAAGAATATATTGCAACTGATAAATCTGCCCTCTCTATAGAGTATGAGAACTTAGTCTCAGGAAGAACTGTAGTTATAGTCTGAGCTATTCTTTCAGTATTCTTTTCTAACTCTTTAATATAAAAAAGGTTTGAAATTAATTTAAGAAGATCTGAAGAGACTTCTGATTGTTTTTGAAATATTCTAGTAAAAGAAGTAGAACCTTCTAATATATCTGAAGTTGAGATTGCAATA